GGGTGACACAGCAGTCAAGTTAGGCGTTTTCCGAATTTTTGACACACCGAGCCCAAAAGGCTCGCCATCACTGACTTAGGGGGTGGGGCTTGCATTGCACATGCTCAGATGCTGCAAAAGCATATCTGGTTCCTTGCTCGCCAACAAAAAACAGGCCAGACAGCCCAGCCGGCTTGTTTTCTGCCAGCAATTACAGACCGAAAACAGAGCGAAAGCATCCTGCTGTGGCTCAACTGTTTTTTGCCAGCAAGGAATAATTAAAGTGCCATTTTTATTTTTACTTATGCCACCCCTGCTTGGATTTCTTCCCGTATACAAAACACATGCATCTACCTGCTCTGGTTTGGAATGATGCCCTTGTCCAGCTCTTGAAGCTCCTTTCCCATCCGCAGGGCGAGCCAACTTCCCAGTTTGCCCCGATACATCGTGTCTACCACATGGAAGACTTCTCCCCGGGTAAAGCTCAGTCCAGAAGGCGCATCCTTCTCAAAGTCAAAGTGGGTGCGGATATAGAACGAATCCCCCACGTTGGACCTGACCATCTTCTTGTAAACTAGGGAAAAGAGATCAATGGGAACCAGCCCAGCCTACCTTACAGGGATATTGTTATACAGATAAAAAAAGGGAAGAATCCCCCACATATGACTGCTCAGAGTTGCCAGCACTTGGGAACACTTATAAGGAAACAGGTGGGCAATTTTTTTTTTAAAATAGAGGCATACATGTATCTATATATTCATCCATCCATCCATCCATCCATCCATCCATCCGGTTTTCAGGAGCCTTGGGTGCTTGTCTGGGCAGAGCAAATTTGGGGAGCTGTTTCTCTGTGATAGAAGGTTTAAGGGGGTTAACTTCCCCTGTAACCACATCCTCTAATAGAAAAGCAAATCGTTATTTAAAGTGGTTGGAAGATTTTAGGTATAAATTTAGTGCCTTAAAACTTCATGAAGATCGAGGCAATCATTTATCTTTTAAAATCTACCCCGACCACCCAGAAATGCAGGAAAAAGTAAAAACAATTCTGACCTTCGTCGTTTTTATAGGCAGGGAGAATCATCTTTATTTGCCCACAAAGACTGCAGGAAGTGATGGACTGATATAATTGAATTTTACCCTTTTCACCCCGTTTCTCAAACATGCATTTTCATGTGCGCACGCACGCACGCAGGCACGCACACATTCACACAGATTCTCCCCCACTTGCTATCTCAGCATGCAGGAATGGGGAGACTTAAACCGCATTTAGACCTTGCTTAACGACTGCCCTGCTTAGCGACCATTCGAAGTTACCACTCTGAAAAAGTAACTTTAATGACCGGTCTTCGCATTATGACTGTCGTAGCATCCCGCTATCATGTGATCACCATTTGCGCACTTCCCAGTTGGCTTGTGACAAGCAGTCAACGGAGAAGCCAGCAGTAATAATGCACATCATGGTCATGTTATGTCATGCTTAAAAACCTGCAGCAACCTGCTTAATGACCAAATAGGACGTGACGTCGTAAGTCTGTCGTGGTCGTGATGTTTTGCTTAGTGTCCATGTTGCTTAGTGATGGAGTTGCTAGTCCCAACTGTGGTCGCTAAGCGAGGACAACCTGAAGGGGCTCAGCCAAACTGAGCCTTCTCACGCTTGCCGAATTGGGGGGAAAGGAGGGAAGGGAGCACTTTCTATGCTGCCTTGAGCTCCAGGAGCTCCAGGAGGGATATAAAATCTACCAATGGTGAATAAATCACCCAACGGTCATGTCACTTACTGTCCTGTTTGTTTTGAACGTGTAGCATCACTTCTTCCCCTGGGGGCAACTCCATCAAGTACTGAACAGCATCCTCGCGAGTCACGTTCTGGAAGGGCCTCTCATTCACCTGCCAGGAGAGAGGGGCAAGCGGGGTTTGGCCAGCACTGCCGCTATTAACCAAATGTTCCATACCCCTGCAGCTCTGCCCACCTCGTTTGCCCATGTCCCTCTTTATTTAACTTATTATTAGCAGTCTTTGACGTATGTTGCCTTTCATTCAGGAACTTAAGGTGGCATGCCTAGCACTCCCTCCACCCATTTTTTTCTCACAACACCCCTGTGAGGTAGGTTGAGCTGAGAGAGGGAATAGCACCAGGCTGGCTGGGGAACGCTGGGAGTTGAAGTCCACCCATCTTAAAGTTGCCAAGGTCGGGAAACACCGGTCTAATCTGTATCTACATCCTTAAAGTTTCCTTCCCTTAGTTCTAGTCTTCCCCTCTGGAGCAAGTGATCATCCTGCACCTGGCCAAGATTCCAGATCCACCAAGATCAGGGCTGGTTCCTTGGGCAGACATACCTGAAGGATCTGGTCGCCTTCTTGAATGCCCTGAATCTCAGCCGGGCTGCCCTCCTGCACGCCAGCCACAAATATCCCAACGTCGTTCCCGCCAGCAAGACGAAGCCCAATGTTCTTTGCTTTGACAAAACGTACCACTTTCGAATCGGGACTGTACCTACAACGAGAGCAGAACACAGCTCAAATCCCGGCTGTGTGTCTGGCTGCTGCTGTCCAAAATGCAGCCTTCACTGTGGAGCTTACCCTAAATTCCCACCACTTTGCACGATGGAATTATTCCCTTGGGAATCGTAGCCATTGCTGGGGGGTTCCTCGGCATCTAGAAGGGGCAGAAAGAACCCGTGAAAAAGGGCTTCAAATGGTTTAATTTCTTCGTTTGCATGCAGGCTTTGCGTTCTGTATTCTTAAAAACGCCTCCTTTCCCTCCCCACTTCCCTCCTCATCCAAGTCAGAAATAAGCTTCTCGCAGAAATCCACAGAAAAATCCAGAATGAAGAAAGCGCAGCCCAGGTATTGCATCCCTTCCCCAGACAGGTAACAGACTTACATCCTGCGACGATCCCTTTAACCCCATCAGACCACAACACCTGCCTATCCCAGGTCCTTGGGAAAGACTTGATAGGTGGATAAAAATGCCAAACCCAGTCTAAACATCTGGCCAACTGTGCGACCAACCATAATAATAATGATGTCTGTGTTTGCAAGTGATCCCAGAAGTGGATTTCTCTCCCTTAAGGTTATTGCTCATAATCATCAACCTTACAAGGAAGACTAACTAAGTTCATGGGACTTACTAGGAATTGAGGTTGAAGTCAACTCTTCCATCGCCATCTCTTCTCTGCTGTAACCCCTCTGTGATCTGGAGAGAAGCAGATGAAACCCAGAATTATAATTTGAGGGAAACAACAGTATCTTACAGCTCTCCAGGGTATTTCTTGCAATCAACATTTAAAAGACCAATTACGACTATGGCTTATTTGTATCCTGCTTTTCAGCCCCAGCGTCACATATTAACACAAAGAAAGATAGAATCAGAGCCGAATTAAATCCAAAATTAGTCCAAGCAATGTAAGACAGCAAAATCCCTACATAAGAGGGGAACAGATAAAAGAATGTATTTGCCAAGTCTATGCCCACTCACAATGAGGGCTAGAAACCTTAGCAGACAGAAAGCAAAAAAAAAAAAAAAGTAATATCCAGCTATGGTAATTAAGAAGTGATCTTACTACATTTTACTTATTGGGCAAAAAAGCCATAAAAATAACTGTTCACACAATAAATTATTTTACAAAATACAGGAGCATGTCCAATCATAAATATATAAATTAAATGAATCAATAAATAAATTCAGGAAGTTATCTCAGCAGCAGCCAGGCAACTATTTCCCCCCTTTAACCTGAGCTATTAAAGTCCCTGATTTGTGGTAACTCAAACATAGTGTTCTTCTTGTTCAGACATGCATGTCCAAGATATAATGGGTTTAAAGGATATAAAACATGCTTGGGTCTTGCCCCCAACTTTCTCGCCACCCAATTTGCTCTATACTGTGGTGGAAGATCCTTGGAATTGCAGCTCAAAAAAAACTTGATTCCACCAAACCTGAAGCTGGGTCTAATCAATCAACTTCTTTTACTGCAAGGGACTCCATTTGAGAGGTAAAATGACTCCTTCCAACGCTACAATTTTATGCTAGTCTGTAATTAAGTAATGCTTCCTTCAAGCTCGACTCTTAATGATATCACGGCCATGGAATTTTCTGGGAAAAAATCATGCATCCTTCCAGCCTGGTTTTTCAACCTCCCAGCCCTGGCATTTTCTAGTAGTCTTCATCCAACAAAATCCAATCCTGGTTAGCTGTTTTTAGATCAACCAAGATACTGCCACCTAGTTGGGGATGTTGGTCTTGAAATCTGACCACAGAAAAATGTTCAGGGCTACCTTACCTAGGCTGTTAAAATTCAGATGACCACTGGATGGCAGCAAAGAGATCCTGAAATCTCTAACTCTCTGCTATCATTTAATCTGGATTATCTGGATTTTTTGCAACCCAGCTACAGCATCTATGCTGATGACAGCAGCCAGGTAAGGCCTACAGGGAGATTCTTACCGGACAGAATCCCTTTTCAGAGATTCAGGAGAGTGTGGTAAACTTGCCACAGGAGGGGGAGGCGAGATGTCTGAGCCAAGATCAGATATATCTAAAAAACAGAGAGAAGTAACTAGGATTTTACAAGACAGACACTTTGTTAGGATTACATTTCTCTAATGAGAAGCAGATGAATCTGATAAATTTGTACAAGGTATAAAGCATTGTGTGGTTTGGTTTTTTACAAACCATGATTCATAGCTCAATTTTGCGTGTAAACTTCTATGGCCATTATATCTTCTACAACAAGTTATGTTTCAAACACACCATTAGTCTGATGTCTGAGCTTAGCAAAAATGTGTGTGGTTTCCTTTCTGAATTAAACTGCAAGGTGTGGGGAAAAACCCTTTTAAAATGTCCATTTAAATCCAGGTCAAGACAAGCAAAACAAGAAAGAGTAAATATATAGAATGCCACAATTATGGAAAACAAGCAATAAAAACAGAGCATAAAAACTCAAAGCAATTAGAAGCTGTCATTTAATAAAGATAATTAGCAGCTTAGAGAAAATACTATACTCCAATAGCAGGAGTCCAAGAAACTTTGAAAAGATTTCTGTTAATAAAAAGAGTTTTGCCTGCTGCACTGAGAGGCTGTGTTTGCAAACCATTGTTTTGCTTAACTATTAATTACTGCAGAATAAATCATAATTAGAGGGTTCACTTAACACACTTAAATAAAGCTTGGTGTAAACATCACAGTGGCTCGGTTCATATAGCAGAATACTGTAAATCACAAACAAACCACATTTTGGCTTAGTGTGTTGTGTGAACAAGCCAGCCAGCGGTCCTCAGAATTCACTAACCAAGTTCTCATAACACGCTAAGCCAAAATGTGGCCTGATGTGTGTGTCAAATGAGACATACAGTATTTCTCTAAGATTCCTGGCTTATTTCTGGTTTCTACTAGGGCCCGGTGTACACTTTTAATGTGGCCGTCAGTTAAACCCGTATGCCAGCAGCCTCTCTTGAATGCTTATCTTTCAATTTATTTTAATTTTTTTAAATGAGAAAGAATTAAATGGGAAGCAAAAACCAGCCTATAAAACCATCCTCTTCAGACTTCATTGACATCCTTAGAAAACCAAAACGGTGGATGGCTTTCACCTTGTACTTTGTTTGGAAAAGTGCCCTGCCTGCTTAGAAAAAAATGAAGCTAAAGAAGTGGTAGGCACAGGAGTATGACATCATAGGTCATGATGTCATACTATGACATCATAGGTATCATGATGACATCCCACAAATGACGACATCATGGAACATAGGACAGCATTTGCCCCTGATAGGGCCCATGGAGGGAGGGAGAATCCTGGGAATGGGGTGGGAGGAAACAGGGAACCACCGTACCAATTTGTGTGTTGGAACCAGTCGGTGGAAGCTCTAGAGAAGAAGATCCCACCTCCAAGTAAGGAGGAATTTCCTGACCATGAGACTATGAAGAGGAACCGCCTGCCTCCTGGAGTCTTGGGGGCTCCATCCCCGGAGGCTTTCAAGCCAAGGTTGGACAGATATTTGCCTGGGATGGTCTGAGGATTCTTGCCTTAGGCAGGGGGTTGGACTAGAAGGCCTCCAAGGTCTCTCTCAACCTTAGGATTCTGTGATTCCTCAAGGAAGTGGCTGTTTATGACTGAAAACACCCCAATACCAGTCATGTTGTTAATTGACAAGTCTCCCACCTTATGGCATCCATCTTCCAAAGCGCCCACAACATGCTTTCAAATTTTTAGATAGGTTCACCAGCCCAAAAAAGTTGCTTACGTTCCATCCAACCAAGCCACGTGGCCAAGCGGCAAAAGCAGCTGAAAAAAGGAGGCAAAACTGGCCAAACACAACAGGAGCATTAAAACCAACCAGGGCTTAGTAAGCTGGGGTGCACCAAATACAGGTAATCCTTGACTTACAACCACAATAGGGACCAGAAAATTCGTCATTAAGTGGTGTGGTCGTTAAGCGAGGCATCACATGACCATACCCATTTTATGACCTTTTTTGCTGCGATTGTTAAGCAAGACATCATGTGACCACAACTTGCAACCTTCCCTTCCAGCTTCCCCATTGACTTTGCTTGTCAGAAGCTGGCTGGGAAGGTTGCAAGTGGCAGTCACGTGACTACAAGATGCTGCAACCAGTGTAAATGTGCAAAGGTTGCCAAGCGCCCAAATCACGATCATGTGACTGCACGGATGCTGTGACGGTCGTAAGTGTGAGGACCAGTCACAAGTTACTTTTTTCAGCACCGTCATAACTTTGAACAGTCGCTAAATGAATGGTTGTAAGTCAAGGACTACCTGTAGCTGAATTGCCAGGCTACTGCAAGTTGATGAGAAAGAACAAACACAGCTCAGCCCGAGAAAGATGGGCAGCCTGTAAAGAACACAAGAAAACCCAATCTCTTGTTGCTGCTCTGGGGAAGTAACCCAGATGACTTCTAATATGGAAGCAAGGAACCAAATTTGGAAGGAAACAAGGCCTAGTTATGCTTCCAGACACATGTTGGAAATCCTTCTTGTATTTTGGCTACCTGTATGTCTCTGCCCTGAAACCCTGTTGGTACTAACCACAGGTAATCCTTGTTTAGCAACTGCCTCATTTAGTGACTGTTTGTTTAGTTTGTTTAGTTATGACAGTGATGAAAAAGTAACTTTATGGCCAAGCCTCACATTTATGACCTTTGCAGGTATGTAACGCAAAGAAAAGCTGAAATACGATCATAAGCACCGTTGCCGTTTCATTTAGCTTTGCTTAACGATCAGGTTGCTGGTCCCAACTGTGTTGCTAAATGAGGACAACCTGTCCATTAATCCATCTCTGTCTTCATCTGCTTCCCTGTAGGTAAGATCTCGGCAGCCTCAGGATCCACCTTCATTTCCCCCCATATCCTCCTTCCCTCCCCAGCTTTTCTCCAGACGCCCCCCTCACCGTCCAAGTGGGAACTTTCCGTATCGCTGTCTCTCACTTGAGGGATGTTGACCAAGAACTGGCTGTTATCACGCAAAACGAGTAAGGTAAGTTTTCCCTCGGACTGTTCGATCAGCTGCCGCGTCTCTCCTAAAGACATGTTCTCACTGACAATACCATTGATCTAGAAGAGATGAAGAGAGGAGTCAGACCAAGTAACCTCCTCCCAGCCTTACGAGGAAGTAATGTTTTGGCTGGGAATCTCATCTTATTTTTCTTCTTGAAGCAGCATTATGAGCTGTAAAAATAAGGAGTGGGGGGGATGGGTTGTCCATCTTTGTTCAACATTTTCTGCAACTCATTACTTTTTTAAAAAATGGATTTTTACTATATGCTCATCTGCAAAAGAAAAAGAAAAAGGAAAGAACAAATGCCCGTATTTTCATTTGGAAATATTTTCTTGATATCTTCCCTTGTGTTTGAGAAACAGATTTCTCTCTTTACCTTTTGAAAGTGAGGCCTGTCTATATTTTCTGCAGCTTGTTTTCATTAAGATGGTTCTTGCATCTTGACAGAGATCATTATTTGACTTTAAAGAGAAACAGATTTGACTTTAACATACAGTATTTCGCACTGCTCTGGGGATTCCTTGCAGGCAGCCTACAGACCCAACCTTGTACGTGTGCATGGATTGAGTGATTGTGCCTTCAAGTTAGCTTGCCATCGCCTCCTTCCTAGGGCTGAGAGTGACTGGCCCAAGGGCATCCAGCTGGCTTCATATCTAAGGCAGGACTAGAACTCACAGTCTCCTGGTTTCTAGCCTGGTGCCTTAACCACTACACCAAATTGGCTCTCTGTATTTAAATTACTCATACTAGTAGTATTAGTAATAAAGTTATATCCTGCCTTTATTGTATACAATTCATGATGCATATAATGCTTCCACCTCTTATTTATCCCATAAGAGTGCAGTGAGGTGGGTTGGGCTGAGAGCGACTGGCACAAAGTCACCCAGCCGGCTTCCATGACGAAGGGAGAAGTAGATTTCCCGGTCGCCCGGTTTCCGGTCCAGCACCTTCACCACTACACCAAGCTGGCTCTCGCATAGTCACCACAGGTGGCTAGAAATTCCATCCAGGCGACGAAGCAAATAGACTAAGCAAATTGACAGATCCCCTTCACTCCTTCCCTTCCAGTTCGATACGTGTTTATTATTTATTTATTTATATTGATCATGGGTGATGGCCCCTTTTCTTGTGGCTAAATCGCACGTTCACAGTTAGGTTATGGGAATATCACTCTGTTCTGCAACTTACCTCTCAACCTTAACCTCTCACCTTTTAAACATTTGCCCAGTTATGGCAGGCCTGCATAACTTGTTAGGGTTTTTCCGTGACATGTCGGGGGTCTATTCCCACAAATGGAGAGGATCGAAACAAATAACATAAGCAGACTCATCCAAAAAATTGTACAGACCATGAACTATTGCAATAATAGCAACCTTTCCCCGACTAACCTTGAGAATAAGGTCCCCCTCTTGCAGGGAGTTATCTTTGGCGGCCAATCCTGACTCCGTGATGTGTTTGATAAAAATCTGGCTCCCCAGCTTCAGTCCGTATTCTTGGGTTTTCAGGAAGGAAAGTTTTTAAAAGAGCAATTAGCAAAGTGAACATTGTTCTCATTGATAAAGTCCTTTTCTAAGAGTGGGACAGGTACAGGGGCCATATGTCCTTTATTATAAAGGAAAGCCCTTTATAGTTTATTTATTTTTCAAAAACTCATGTTTGTCCTTTATTTTGGTCATTTAACTTTTCCTGTGCAAATGGTAATGCCCAGTCTTTCACATTTATGTGAAAAATATGAAAACTGAATTGTCTTTTTAAAATAAATTTACATATTCTGTTTGATTTTAGAGATTTTTATTAGACTATGCATTTTTGTAAAGTTTTTTCTTGGTTTTGCTCTTGAATTTTCCTTTGTAAAACAAAGGAAATCAACATAAACAATTTTTTTATCCTTACGGACCTCTTTCAGATTTGCCCCTTTTTCAGGTTTTTCCTTTATTTTTTCCAAGAAAATATAGGGATATTTTTGCACGATAGGGATGGGGGAAAGGGCAACATGTACAATCTTTTGCATGCTGCAGAATTCATGACAAAAACAGAGCATTCTGTGTAATCCAGTAGTTTAATTCTACACAGGCCAATCTCACTTTTCAGGAAGAAAGTCCCCTTTCATTTTAACTGGTATCTTCTATTCTTGTGAAGGATTTATTGCTTACCCGAGGTGGAAAAGTAGTGTTGTGGGATTTAATTAAACCAATTTTTATCCTGATTTAATTTGTTTAAGGCTACTTCAAGTTAATTTAAGCGAAGCTCAAACAGGGGGCCATTCTGAGAAATATTTGCTCTATGAGATCAGTAAGAATTTTGGCAGATCGGATAGATCAGTGTTTTTCAAACTTGGCAACTTTAAGATGGGTGGACTTCAACTCCCAGAATTCCCCCCCCACCCGGCCCGGGTGGGGGATTCTTGGGGTTGTAGTCCACCCATCTTAAAGTTGCCAAGTTTGAAAAACACTGATCTATCCGATCTGCCAAAATTCTTACTGATCTCATAGAGCAAATATTTCTCAGAATGGCCCCCTGTTTGAGCTTCGCTTAAATTAACTTGAAGTAGCCTTAAACAAATTAAATCAGG